ATACAGAGAAATAAAGAATTAATAAGTCAAAATATAAAGCTATAGATGGATCGTATGAAGTATTGTTGTATGACAGACAGGCATTTTATTTGAGATGGTTTACCCAACTTTCTTCGACTGTCCACTGGCTCCTGGGACTCTACGCAACAGTGCATAGTTGATGTTAAGTTTCAAGGCGGACCATTCTGACCCCGAAAGTACTTGCTCCTGGCATATATATTTATTAGCTTTCAGGGTCTCTTTGAAATGCCTAACTCCGACGCCTTGCCACCTGCAACTGGCCCATTCTTCTAAACAATTCTCTTTCAGATTGCCTTGATACTCCTGCGGTAATTTTTTATTAATTCCTGTTGAAGTAAATTAGCCTAAGGTGATGGTATTAAGATAAATTTATATAATCATGAATGTCTTGACTTGTTCCAGCAAGGGGAAATGTGAATGGAAAAAGATATCTTGCAATAGCGCAGGAAATGATTCTATGAACAGGCGAAGAGGGCCAGAATAAGAGGCTACAGGACGTAAGTGTTAATGTTAATAAAAAAAGAAATTTCGTTATGTTTCGTCAACACAACAGTAGTTGCAATTGTTAATTATAATATCTCACTCATTATACAGAGAAATGAAGAATTAATAAGTCAAAATATAAAGCTATAGATGGATTGTATGAAGTATTGTTGTATGACAGACAGGCATATTATTTGAGATGGTTTAGGAGGCAAATCTAGTCTAAAGAAATCTGTCATACTGTATTCTAGAAGTAGAAAAAGAACATAAAAATACTTTTTTTCCATTTCAGTTTTGTCTAACAATAAGCGCTAAAAAAAACAGAGCTGCCGAAGAACATACTACCGGAAGAGGCGCTACTGTTGCCCGGGGAACAGATGATATAGATCACCAAAAAGATGCTGTCCCGAAAAGTAGTATAATAGAAACAGGATAAATCTATGCAATAGAAACTGATCCAGAATCAGCATCAACCCTTTCATAAATTTTCTTTGAGAATTTCCAAGAAAATTTTGTAAAGGCACGTCTATCACCGAAATCGCCCGGTAATTTTTTATTAATTCCTGTTGAAGTAAATTAGCCTAAGGTGATGGTATTAAGATAAATTTATATAATCATGAATGTCTTGACTTGTTCCAGCAAGGGGAAATGTGAATGGAAAAAGATGTCTTGCAATAGCGCAGGAAATGATTCTATGAACAGGCGAAGAGGGCCAGAATAAGAGGCTACAGGACGTAAGTGTTAATGTTAATAAAAAAAGAAATTTCGTTATGTTTCGTCAACACAACAGTAGTTGCAATTGTTAATTATAATATCTCACTCATTATACAGAGAAATGAAGAATTAATAAGTCAAAATATAAAGCTATAGATGGATTGTATGAAGTATTGTTGTATGACAGACAGGCATATTATTTGAGATGGTTTAGGAGGCAAATCTAGTCTAAAGAAATCTGTCATACTGTATTCTAGAAGTAGAAAAAGAACATAAAAATACTTTTTTTCCATTTCAGTTTTGTCTAACAATAAGCGCTAAAAAAAACAGAGCTGCCGAAGAACATACTACCGGAAGAGGCGCTACTGTTGCCCGGGGAACAGATGATATAGATCACCAAAAAGATGCTGTCCCGAAAAGTAGTATAATAGAAACAGGATAAATCTATGCAATAGAAACTGATCCAGAATCAGCATCAACCCTTTCATAAATTTTCTTTGAGAATTTCCAAGAAAATTTTGTAAAGGCACGTCTATCACCGAAATCGCCCGGTAATTTTTTATTAATTCCTGTTGAAGTAAATTAGCCTAAGGTGATGGTATTAAGATAAATTTATATAATCATGAATGTCTTGACTTGTTCCAGCAAGGGGAAATGTGAATGGAAAAAGATGTCTTGCAATAGCGCAGGAAATGATTCTATGAACAGGCGAAGAGGGCCAGAATAAGAGGCTACAGGACGTAAGTGTTAATGTTAATAAAAAAAGAAATTTCGTTATGTTTCGTCAACACAACAGTAGTTGCAATTGTTAATTATAATATCTCACTCATTATACAGAGAAATGAAGAATTAATAAGTCAAAATATAAAGCTATAGATGGATCGTATGAAGTATTGTTGTATGACAGACAGGCATTTTATTTGAGATGGTTTACCCAACTTTCTTCGACTGTCCACTGGCTCCTGGGACTCTACGCAACAGTGCATAGTTGATGTTAAGTTTCAAGGCGGACCATTCTGACCCCGAAAGTACTTGCTCCTGGCATATATATTTATTAGCTTTCAGGGTCTCTTTGAAATGCCTAACTCCGACGCCTTGCCACCTGCAACTGGCCCATTCTTCTAAACAATTCTCTTTCAGATTGCCTTGATACTCCTGCGGTAATTTTTTATTAATTCCTGTTGAAGTAAATTAGCCTAAGGTGATGGTATTAAGATAAATTTATATAATCATGAATGTCTTGACTTGTTCCAGCAAGGGGAAATGTGAATGGAAAAAGATATCTTGCAATAGCGCAGGAAATGATTCTATGAACAGGCGAAGAGGGCCAGAATAAGAGGCTACAGGACGTAAGTGTTAATGTTAATAAAAAAAGAAATTTCGTTATGTTTCGTCAACACAACAGTAGTTGCAATTGTTAATTATAATATCTCACTCATTATACAGAGAAATGAAGAATTAATAAGTCAAAATATAAAGCTATAGATGGATTGTATGAAGTATTGTTGTATGACAGACAGGCATATTATTTGAGATGGTTTAGGAGGCAAATCTAGTCTAAAGAAATCTGTCATACTGTATTCTAGAAGTAGAAAAAGAACATAAAAATACTTTTTTTCCATTTCAGTTTTGTCTAACAATAAGCGCTAAAAAAAACAGAGCTGCCGAAGAACATACTACCGGAAGAGGCGCTACTGTTGCCCGGGGAACAGATGATATAGATCACCAAAAAGATGCTGTCCCGAAAAGTAGTATAATAGAAACAGGATAAATCTATGCAATAGAAACTGATCCAGAATCAGCATCAACCCTTTCATAAATTTTCTTTGAGAATTTCCAAGAAAATTTTGTAAAGGCACGTCTATCACCGAAATCGCCCGGTAATTTTTTATTAATTCCTGTTGAAGTAAATTAGCCTAAGGTGATGGTATTAAGATAAATTTATATAATCATGAATGTCTTGACTTGTTCCAGCAAGGGGAAATGTGAATGGAAAAAGATGTCTTGCAATAGCAAGAAAAGATTCTATGAACAGGCGAAGAGGGCCAGAATAAGAGGCTACAGGACGTAAATGTTAATATTAATAAAAAAAGAAATTTCGTTATGTTTCGTCAACACAACAGTAGTTGCAATGGTTGTAATTATAATATCTCACTCATTATACAGAGAAATAAAGAATTAATAAGTCAAAATATAAAGCTATAGATGGATCGTATGAAGTATTGTTGTATGACAGACAGGCATTTTATTTGAGATGGTTTACCCAACTTTCTTCGACTGTCCACTGGCTCCTGGGACTCTACGCAACAGTGCATAGTTGATGTTAAGTTTCAAGGCGTTGGACCATTCTGACCCCGAAAGTACTTGCTCCTGGCATATATATTTATTAGCTTTCAGGGTCTCTTTGAAATGCCTAACTCCGACGCCTTGCCACCTGCAACTGGCCCATTCTTCTAAACAATTCTCTTTCAGATTGCCTTGATACTCCTGCGGATATTTACATCAATCCCCTCCAATAACGTAGGACTTATGTTTGTAAGGGGCCGTCTGGAGAGGGTAGGTAAGTCCCGGGAATACATATTGATTAACTACATTGGTCTTTTGCTCTGGTTTAAGAAGGCAAGAGCTCACCAGTTATTTCAAGTTGTCATTAAACTTTTTTATCTTTACCTCATTTATCACTAGCTCTCCCGAGAACGTGCATCCTAAATATTTTATAGTTTCATCTGCCTTTGATGCATGAATGACTTCTCCATTCTCAAGGGAGAGCTTTGTTTGTTGCAGCTTTCCTTTATCCATTATTAGGCCCATGCTTTTCTTCGGATTAATAACCAGACCAATCTCGGCGAGGATCCTCTGTACACAGTTAATTATCCTTTCTGCAGCACCCTTGTTGCATGCTGAAACAGCCTGGTCATCCGCGAAGCCTGTGAGGATCACACATTCTTGGTCACAGGTGAGCTTGTATCCATAATGCTTGGAAAATTCTTGCTCACACAGGTTGCAGTATAGATGGCCTATATATAGCCAGGTTGAACAATGAAGGCGACAAGGGTCCGCCTTGGGATACTCCTCACCACACTTTGATCCAGCATGTCGCGTGGACTCCTACTCCAATCTTAATTGAGTTAGTACCCAGGAGAGCCGCAACCACATCTTTCAAGTCTTGTGAGACCCCTCTTGCCTCCAGTGAGCTGATGATATGGTCGTGACCAACGTTATCAAAAGCGCCGGAAACATCTAGAAACACCACTGTGCAATCATTCTTTTTACATTTGGCATCCTTTATAATCGCGTTGATGATTCTTGCGCTGACATGTGTTCCTGGCAGGCCCCTGATGAAACCTCTCTGATTTGGCGCACAATCGAGTAAATGGTTATGGGTCACCATGATGATATGATGTTGGCATCATCCTTTCCCTTTTAGACCAAGATTGTGCACCCTTGACGCAGAGACCAGAGGCTCTGGTACGTAAGCCACCCTCAGCATGATCTCCGCAATTATCTCAATTATATGAGAAATATCATAATACTTTATCGTACAAATCAGAAATCTGTCTGGCCCCAATGATGTGTCCAGCGAGGTTGATTTAATTGCTTTTTTACCGATCAGACGTCGATGGACATCAGATTTGGCATCGGGGCGCAAATCCAAATGTTTGCAGAGATTTTTCTTTTTAAAGAGGCTTCTAAAGTGGCCTTCAATCTCAACTACCTTCAGTGGGCACTGTTTTGTATAATACAAAAAAGAATTATTATTATTAATCTAAATCAGTACTCACTTTCCCTTTGAGGTAGCCGCACAGTAAGAACACTGAAAAATCCAATAACAACTGCTCCGCCACAAACGTAGATAAGAGATAGCTTATAAAAATCGGTGTGAAGATAATCTTTAGGAGCCCTAAAAAAAAATTAATATTATGAAAAAAAATGGCCATATATACATAAAATTGCAAAATACACCGTAAAAATCTTCTCAAATCATAGGATAATAAGAAAATAGCTTTGGGAACAAAAAATATCTTCAAATAGGTATAATTACAGATATACTGGCTAAGATGTAGAAACTTACATATTCGTCATACATATATTTATATATATATATATATATATATATATATTAAAGTTAAGTTACTTGATAATACAAGAATTAAAAAGAAACTAAATGGTAACAAAGTAAACACTCTGACATCTAGGTTTCTTCAATTATTACAATTATTAGTAGATTTTGATGTAGATAATAGGATTGCTATACATAGTAGTAATATAATAAAACCTATTATAAGCAATAAAGAGAAAGAAAACTTACATAGCTTGGATGATCATAATAATAACACCACAGGAAAATTTATCAGCAAAGCTCATGATTCCATAAACAAATGCACTATTTCCAACATCATCTCCAATCATTTCAGCAGTAACTGACAAACTTGTAACCAAAAGGATGGAAACTGCTGCACCTGTTTCAAGATTTATTGTATTACTTATTTGAGTAAAATCAATCACATTTTCCTTATTAAACATTTATACATTCTACAGATATTAAGTACTCTTCAGTATGAATCAAACAATTATTTTTAGATACTTGTTTTATTTAATTTAATTTAAATCATGAATAAGCAAAATGCTATATTTAAATAAATGGGTAATATATATTCCAATCTCAAGTGGGTAACTAGTTTACCAAACCAATAACAGAAATTGAAACATTGCTTAGCAAAGAATTATTTTAATTTGTTGACTTTGTTGATCTTTGGCTCCTCCTTTCCAAAATGACACATGGAGCTCTGGAGCATCTGGAGCAACTATCCATTTGATTTGCACCCCACATGGTCTATTTCCAACTATTGTGGCATTCATTGTTGTGTAGAGGCTTCTTGATGGATTGCTTTGAGTTACACGCCCATCCATCTTAACCTCCTTACCTTAATATGAGATATTCACTGATCAGTTTCTTTTAGCAGTTCTTTATGTCCTTTTCTTCCAGATGATAATTTTTGGATCAGCTTGCTCTTGTTACCGAATAGAGTATTTTTCTCCAAAATACTCCTTCCCATTCTCCTTTTTAGAATGCCGGTAAGAGACCAGGTCTTTTAACCATATGTCACAGCTGGCTTCATTACTGCATTATACACTCTTAATTTGAAATTTATGAAGACTTCAAGAGATTTCAGTAACTTTACAAAAATATATGATAGCTTTATTAGAGTTTGTTATACGCTGGTCTATCTCTGATAGTTGGTCATTTATTGTGGTTATAGTGGATCCAAGGAATTTTAACTTGTCTACAATCGGGATTTATTTTTGGCTTACTATCATATATTTTGTTACATTTTCATTTACTTGTAGATTTGTTATCCCTGTTTCTTTTATCACAGTCTTAGCTAGTTAGGTCTCCTAATTGTTTCTGAGATCAGCTATGTCATCCGCATACATTAGGATTTTATGATTCTTTCCAATGTGCACCCCTCCATTTCTACATAATCTTGTTGTCATTACTTAGAGCTGAGCTAAACAGAATCAATAAGAGACTATTTCCCTGTCTAAAACTTATTCAAAATGTGAAGAGTAGTTCTATTAAGTTCTACTAGTATTAGGATTCAGCCTTTATAGTAATTTGTGTACACCTTCGTCAATCTTACCAATTTTCTGATAACTCCCAACTCAATTATGATCTACAAATTAATGTGGTTTTATATCACATAATCGTATAAATTGTTTTTTGAACCATACATTAAAATTTTTAGTTTTACAAGCTGAAAGGATGTCGAAAGAAGACCATCAAAAGGTGACTTTTTCTCTCGGTGCACTGGTTTTTTATTGGTTAATTTGTAGCGGCAATGATTACATTAAAAATTATTAGAACTATAAATAATAAAATATTTAGAACTTATGAAGTAAAAAAAAAATAATACATTATTAACTTACCATACAGGATAGAGACACCATAAATCCCATAAGAAACATAAACGTCACCATATCCAAAAAATATCCATATACAACCTCCAACAGCTAGTAAGCAACCAATTGAGAAAGCAAGCTGAAGAAAAAACATTATTACAACATTAATTCAAATACTTTAACATGCACTGTATTATTTCAAACATACTAGTGATCTTAACTTCTAATGTGATTAATGCTTAGCTCTTACCTTCCTCCCACAGAATCCATATAGTGGTTTACATATCCACGAAGACAGAAAGCTGGCCACATACATTACAAAAGGTATGACTGCTAAACTTTCACTCTCCATATTCAAGTAGGAATGAAGGTATAATACAATGAAAGATTGACTAACATTGACAAAGACTCTAGTGGTAGTATAAACAAGAGCAACTTGATAAAGTATCCATCTTAGAAATAAGTCTTTAAAGGACAATCTTTCTGACGATCTGTTAGAATCATCGTTTTCAAGTAGAGGTGGCTCATCATTATTTTCTTGTACAAGTAAATAAAAAAGTAATGAAGTAATAGCACCTCCAGCACATAATGAATATACTATAATCTGTAAAAAAAATAAACAAATAAAAAATATATTCACATAAGTCAAATAAAAAACATAACACACAAAAAAAAAACATTATAAGTATTTAGTAAGATATTAATACTATTTAAAACCAGAAATTTAAAATCTTAATGAATTTGAGTGTGGTTTTCAATAAAGAACCTGCATATAAAATTTAAGAAATATCAAACAATATTGATATTATTAAATTAGATATTTAGTTTCTTATATTGAAGAAGTCAATAATATAACATGATTACAACAATTGAAGAGAAGTTGGTTGGGATTTTAAGTTAATGAAAGTACAAAGTAATAATAAATAAATTATATTTATTAATTGATGAAGACCTGACAATTAGGCCAAAATGTTGCCACAAAGGAAATAAAAATAAATAAATTATATTTATTAATTGACGAAGGCCTGACCGTTAGGCCAAAATGTTGCCACAAAGGAAATAAAAATAAATAAATTATATTTATTATTTGACGAAAGCCGAACAGTTAGGCCGAAATGTTGCCACAAAGGAAATAAAAATGAATATAATTTATTTATTTTTACTTGGTACTTTCATTGACTGAAAACCTCAACCAACCTCTCTTCAATAAATATTCAGTCAACAATGATCCACTATGATTAAAACAATTCTTTTGTAGCTTACTTGAAACTTAAAGAGATCTTTATGTGAAACATTGTCTGAGCCTCCGTTTACTCCAAGCACCCCCCATGTCACAGCATAAGATATTAAATTAGATAATATAGTGAAAGTATTTCTAAAAACATAAAAAAAGAGGGAATTAGTAATAATAAAAACAAAAATTAAATATGAAATTTTCATAAATTAATTTAAAAAAAAAAACCTTATCGACAGCAGCCCAGTACGGTCCATTTCATCTGATGATAAATCAGGAACTAAAGCTAAATGGGCAGTTTGCACAGCAGCCCAACCAAATTGAAAAATTGTCACAAAAAACCCATAATAAATCAATTTTTTCCATTCAGAAAAGTCTTCACATCCAATACATGGAGAATACATGAATGGCATAGCAACAAGGACACATGCAGAACCTGCAAAAATTTAAAGAGTTAAAAACTAAATTTTGATTATAAAAAAACAACAAACAAAAAATCATACAAGTAACATAAGATAAACATGGAGAGTCATTTGTTATTCCAATTTTTATTTATTGTTAAAAACTATTCTTAAGGTTTAAAAAAACTGAAATATATATAAAAACATATATTTATAATATAAACAAACATTTATTTATATGAATTAAATAAATGTTTTTAAATATTTGAAAAATGCCATGATATTATCTACAGAAAAACGGCACTGCCTGTTAGAGCTGAGCCAGTGAACATATAGTACACTTAATGTTTAGTTATTAAATGACTATTCCTTTTCTTTTCACCAAAATAATTCTGAAAGAATTAAATCAATCAGTGCATTAGTAGATGATGCCTTTTAAGATGTGTAACTTTAATATGCCTAATCAAGTTAATGTTAAAATATTGAAAACAATGCTAGGTTGTTAAAACAGACTTAATAAAATAAGTAATCAGTGGTAGCCTTAAACGTTTTTTAAACAATTTGGTCACGAGCTCCACTCACCCTTCCCGTAAAAAATATTAATTTAGAAGGAGGAAATGAATCACATATGAAGAAGATTGTATATTACTTTATATTTGGATTGTATTTACTTTAATATGGCTATAACTCAGTCATTCTATTAATAGGATTTACGAATTTTGATAATCCCCAACATAAGATACTTCAGGTCGGTGCCCTATGGAAGTCTGCCTGGGTTGCCCTGAACTACGGGTCACACTGTAACTAATTAATTAAGCCAGTAGGCTAAGATTATCTTAGTATAAAAGCTCAAGAAAAAAATGATATTAGAAGTAAGTGATTCATTCACTAGCTGTATCAAATCTAGCATACAGATAACATAAAAACTGCATTACAAACATAAGAAAAATATATATTAGATCATAGAAGCATGAAAGTATTAATGGATTCATTTAAACAAATTAGATATCATTACTTCTCTGGATTGCGACTTTTTAAACACACATACACATATATTTAAGAAGTTGGTAAGGGATGCGGTCAGTAGATATACTATATGTAATAGTAGTATTTTATTGCAATTGCCAACGCTTTGACCTACATTGTATGTTTTTATTAGGGTACTTCATCAAACACTGACAGAAGAAATTAGGAGTGAGAAGTTAGAATAAATACATACATAATAAAAGTTTTTTTTTTTTTTTTAATTTCTTAAAGACATTTACAACTGTATTAAATAAATACATCTAGTAAATTAGAACATAATGTATATAATGACCTGAAAAACACTTGCTGAGTATCTACCCAATGGTAGCACTCTAATGATATGTTTACATTAGGAGATCACGGGGCCATCTTCTTTTCAGACGCCTCGGAGGGTTATCAGGAATTGAAGAGGAAGCAAGGTTAGAAACGAGAGGGTTGGGATGATTCTGAAGTTTATTATGGAAGGATAGGTATCTGGATTGGGCCAGATCTGAAACAAAAGGAACATTAAGGTCATTATGGATGGTTTTATTTGTAACAAAGTAGGGAGCATTGAGGATTTTGGATTGTAAGGATTGGATACGAGAGGAATTCGATGGTTAAGTGGAGCCCCATAGCTCAACTCCGTAAGTCCAAATAGGCCTTATTATAGTCAAGTATATGAGTCTTTTGTAATTAATTGGAAGATTAGAACGTTTGTCAAGTAAGTGCTGAAGTAATCGGAAACGCCGAGCGGTTTCTTGTCGTTTCAGTCTAGTATGAGGATTCCAAGTTAGTCGTTTGTCCATGTGGAGTCCTAGGTATCGGATTTGCTCAACAGGGATAAGTGGAGTATTGTTAAAGGAAACTGTAGGACAGAAAGTTGTTGGTTTACGACGAAGGGTAAAGGTAATTTGGTGGGATTTATTGGAGTTTATTTTAATTCTCCAGTTTTGACACCATTCTTATAGATTTATGATGTGTGATTGAAGCATTTGGGATGCAATTGCTGGGTCATTATTTACTGATAGGATACATGTGTCATCGGCATATGTGGTGATGACAGTGTTGGGATAGGTAGGGATGTCAGCTGTATAAACTGTATAGAGGATAGGGCCTAGGATACTACCTTGAGGAACACCAGCGGACTGAGAAAAAAGGGATGAATAGGCGTTTTTGTGATTTACTTTAAAGAATCTATCAGTAAGGTAGGAACGGATAATGAGGAAGTATGTAGGTGGTAGCAATTTTCGGAGTTTGTACATTAGTCCCGGATGCCAAACTCTATTAAACGCCTGTTCAACGTCGAGAAAGACTCCCGTACAGTACATTCCGCGCTCCAATGCAGAGGAGACTACGTCTATCACACGATGACATTGCTGTATAGTGGAATGGGAAGTGCGGAATCCAAATTGGTGATCTGGGATTATGTGTTTAGAATTTAGGATAGGGTATAGGCGTTTTAAGATGAGTTTTTCTAGGATTTTGCCCATGATGGGTAAAAGAGAGATAGGACGGTAAGAGGATGGGTATTCAGGTGGTTTTTTTGGTTTGTGGATCATTTTAACAATATATCGTTCCCAAGGATCAGGAAAATATGTGGAACGGAGTACAGCATTATATATGTAAGTAAGGAATAGGATACTTTTCGAGGTAGAAGTTTTAGGATCTGGGATGTAATTCATAATAAAAGTAAATATATAATAAAACCTCTATGTATAAAATAAATTATTACCTAAAAGATGCCAAGACTTTCTTTTTCCATACTTTGACAAACAAAATAAACTGGTTCGGTCCGAAAAAATGCCAATAAATGGAGTAGATACAGCATCTGCTATTTGACCAATAAGTAATATAGCTCCTGCATTAACATTGCTGAACTGAAGGACAGAATTGTAAAACAGCAAACTATATGTGAACCATATTGATGAACAAAGATCATTTAGTACATGACCAAAGCCATATCCAAGCCGCTCCATCCGGGTAAGAGACATTTTCTTATCTGAAAAAAAAAAAAAAAATCATTAAGAAAATCTTATGTTTACATATTTAAACACACATACAAACATAATGTTTCATTGAATACATCGCTCAACTGATTCAATATTTAGAAAAAAACAATAATTAACGACCTACAAATACAAAATAAATCACAGAAGCCACTAAAATTGGGAAAAATAATGGTTGCTCATTTTTTAAAACTAAAATAAGCATAAAGCTAGAAAAGTGACATAAGGTAATTAAGTTATAAATGGAAAAATTCAAGCTATAAAGTGACGATTCTCCAACATACAGATGAATAGTTAACTTTCCATTTTGAATTCCAACTTAGGCATCGTGAGGGCAGAAAAACCAACAACACTTTTATATAGAAAGAAAACGAAAAACAATTTTGTTTTTGTTTTTTCATTCTGGATATAAGTGACCTTGGTTTCTCTGTGACCTGATGATGCCTCAATTGGTGGAACGCTGGCAAGTTAACTATTCATCTCTATGATGAAGACAGGCTTTCTAGTTTGGATTTTTTCATTTATAGCATAATTCTTTTTAACACTAGTTGATGTAAAACTTGACAAACGATTTTTATTGGAAAAAATTGTTCAAACAACCAAACTGGAAATAGTTGTTCTAAAAGCCATCGATTATATCCTACAATGTGCACATTACACTTCTTCTAAGTTATTCAAAATATACACTGGCCAAAATTCTAATAGATAACATAAGAAAGCTCAAATATCAAGACTTATGGACTGAAGCAATACCTGGGTATTGCATAGTAGATGAAATAACTTTGGGACACTTTTCAAAGTTTTAAGTTAATTCTATCTTTATTTTCAAAGTTAAAATGCTGAAAAAAATATTAATATGTAAAGCCAGTCTCCCTCTTACAAAATATGGCAGATCAATAACTATAGAAACAACAGTATTTAACAAAAAATTTAAATTTGTACTAATCTTACCCCATCGATTTGGGTAAACTTGGTACAGTGCATGATGATCTCCATTAGAAATGGCAGGAAACCATTTGTACCAATGTTACCCCACAATACTTTATAGGCTCATTATTTACATAAGAAACAACAAGGAAAATGAGTGTATACCATTATACAACCATACTATATTTAAGAGATCATGAAAACAATAAATTCGTATTAATGGTAAAAAAGATTGCAAATCATAATTCTTTAAACAATTAGATCTTGAAAATTTACTGAACAAACAGAAAATGTAACAAACATTATTCAAACACTTCGTACAATTTGGTTTATGTTAACTGAAGCCAAGAGATCACTGTAAGCTTGCAGCTCTTTCACTTCGGAAATTTCTGGCCGACCAATTTGTCTGAGTAATGAATTTCATAAGGCGTTGAAGGTCATTTCCAATTAAAAGCCGATATTAATACTTCGGTAATCTGATGTTCGTAGTTCTTGAGGCACAAGCTAAAGTTTCATGAAAACAAGAATTTTGAAAAAAACAAAACAATTGAAATAAATAAAACCTAACTGGACGAGTGTAGTGAACTAGGGTTCTCAAAGTGCCGCAAGGTAATAGCGCAGTACAAGCCTACACAAAGCACGTTTTTGCAGGCTGGACCAACAAAGTGTACCCACCACGGAATCATCATAAACTAAATTTTACCCGCTGTCCCAAAGTTACCCACCCAGTCCCAAAAGTACCCCATCTCACGACAAGGCAACAATGAATCCTTCAAAGCTTCTCTTTATTTTCATAAAAAATAAAGTAGAATTGGTTAAGAGACACAGCTGGATCGCTGGAAACGAAGCAGCGGATATCTTGACAAAATCTACTTCGTAAAATGTCTTCTCCCTATAAGCTATGACAGTACCCCAATATCCTACATTAAAAAAAATAAATATTAAATGAAATCATAAATACTTGGAATAGACAACGGCAACAAACAACTGAAGGAAGGGCGCTTCAAAAATTTGTTTCAGAAGTTACAGTTACTATGATAAAATTAAAAGTACACACTATAAACTGGCACAGTACTTAGCTCAACATGAACAAACCCAATTTTACTTATAACGGTTTCATCTGAAGGATACTGATACATGCCACTCCGACGTACAAGCTCAAACATTTTATCATATTCTAAAAGACTGCACTATTTTCGACAGTAAACGGTATCACTTAATAAGAAGTAATTTTCTAAAAGGAGATGAAGAAATTTACTCATGAAGTTTATCTTCAACTCCTCTAAGAATACCGAAAATATTAATAAATAAAATATTCTGTTGTGTTTTTCTTATTTGATTTCGTTTCTGTTTTACTTATTTTATTTGAGTTTTTTTTTTCATGTGTTTAATAAGGACAGTTTCAAATTTTCGATATCTTGCAATTTCTGTATTATTTTACTTTGATCTGATTTTCTTTTTCATTGCTTACTAATACTTGGTCAATTCATTTTATAACAATCACAAAGAGGCACGTATTATGCTTTACATGAACATCGTACATGATTGCTGTGTGAGGGAATAAGAAGAAAAAAAAAATGTCCATGTTGTTCTGATAAGCCAAATAATGCCAAAAAGTTAGGCAATAGCTTTTTGGCATTATTTGGCTTTTCTTATTGCAGAGGTGACCAGCAGAATTTTAAAAATAATTAAATGGAAAAGAATATAAAGGTCATATTAATTTTAGCAGTAATATGAAAACTATTTAAAAGAAATAGCTGTTACTTGTGAATATTATCGCGATTGGAGTTTGTAAGAATTTAATCTCAATCAGATATCATAATAACAAAATCAAATTCCAAGGAACAATTAAAAATAATGTATATTTTTAGCAAGATTACGCCTAAAATTATTAATTGTTGAGCCTAAAATTATTAAACACAGGAATATGATATAGGCATTACAAAGGTGCCCATATAACAAATCAGAAAATTGGTAACAGAATGTCATAGCAAGCGATCTATATGAAAACCAATGGAAGGCTTATAAATATGCACACAATTTTTAAATCAATATCTTGAATATCTCAATCATCTTATTTCTCTTGGGTTAAAAAATATTATTACCAAGAAATTGTGAGCTCTTATTTATAATTTTCTTATATATATAGAAACGCTTTTAAGGAGGTACTAAAGTTTCTACGCCATTATCAGTAAGAGAAGGCAGAATCTAATATAATCCTATAGAAAATTATAGGGGTGGTTAGGGAACATAAATCTATACAAGATACTAATAACGGCACAATTAGCCCCCTCCTTCCCCTCCCCCCCCCCTCAGCTAATATAAGAAACAACATCCACATTTACTGGCTCATAACCATCAAATATTAGTGTCTGCTTTGAGGAAAAATAAATTGTTTTAATCCAGATATTCATACATTAAGGCGTTTTTACAACAAATTTTATGAACATTTTAATGTTAAAATTGATAACTGTTCATAAAAGAACTAAAATGATACCACTATATATATATATATATATATAGAATCCATACTGTACCACTACAACCCATGAAGGATCTTGGGTTCAGTACTATTTAGGGAAAATACTGTTACAAGGCCAACGGTTGTGCAGGGAAGAGAGTGGGCCAGGATCACGCTCAACCGCCAGGTTTTCTCCCTTAATCAATTATTTAATTAAGGATACCTACTTTGTAGAGGCTGGGTGTGCCCCAGGAGTGTCTCTCTACCCCAGGGTCGCCCCACGGCCAATGAAACAGAATAAATAATTTTTCTGCCATGGGCCGGGACTCGAACCTGAGCCCTTGAGTATTGGAAGCTTAGTGCCCAACTAGTGAGCTGCCATCAAATAAATCTGGTCTCTTTCCCCTCGGTGTGTTAGACCCGTCAGTCTATTGGAGGCAACACACACAAACTGGGCGTAGGAGTGATCCTATCCTACCTCGAGTACACGGGAATCGCGATGCGGTTTTCGAGGATGTGTTAATGATAAAAAATGTCATTAACCACTCCATGAGTGGAGTCCATGGACGTACTGCATCAGAGAACGAGATGTAGGAGGACCTCGTACGCCTGCTAACACAGAAGAGCCATAATCTACGGAACTAAACTGATTTGATACCAACGGGACTATATTCTGTTGATTAGCCAGTAACGTATGAAGACAATACGAGTATAATTTTGATAGTACAATTTGCAGCATCCCAAATATCTGACAATTGATTAGTCGATGGTTATCAGTGTATTCTCCAAAGGTTCAATATTCAATTAAAAAATCTGATGGTCGCATCACACGATTTTCACTTACCACCTTCTTCTTAGCAGAAATAAGTATTTCCAGACAAAGGGGAAGTGAAAGTAAAAGTTATTGATGCTATATTTATTTACAATTCATTGTGGGTATTTTTATTGGTATAAATACCCTTATATTTTAATTTTTATATCATTGTATTCTCTGCAATTAAATATTAACAAATACCAACGATAGAATTTATGAAAACCGCATATGTATATCAACATAATATTGTCGGAATCCGTACTATATGAGGCTCATGTTACGTATGGAAGCCTGTTGCAATCTTTCGGGCGAGCTCGGGCAAGCTCGCATTTCTTTGATTCCTCTATTACAACTATTATCCGTTACGATCTATTATTCCTCCTTTAGTTAATTATCAAATTCATTCATATTTTATATTTATACACGTGCCAAGGATCTGGAATTTGCTACTAAATCAAGACCTTAGGGCGCACAATGTTGGCGATGTCTTCATTTTCATAATGTGGTGTGTTTGTGCGATAAAATTAAAGTTGTCACCATAAAGGGTAATTTATTAAAATCAAATTTCCGAACACGTCGCCCCTAAAAACATGAGGATCGTCCAAATTGTAAATCCGATCCTGTGAATACTGAAAATTCACCAAGAAGCATTGAAGGTATCGTTTTCCGAATGGCAGGACGCAATAACGACGATAAACCCTTAAGGTTCCTACGTCGTTCGGGAGTTATTGACCTCAATAGGTATCATTGAGGCAGCTCACTGATCACTTGACTATTCGTTATTTTTCAAT